CCCCCACCACGTGCCGCCGGGGGGGCGGGGAGAAGGTACAGAACAAAGCCTTTGGGCTTTGGGACGAAGGGAGGGGTGGGGGAGAAGTGCCTTTGTGTAAGATGTGGTTCCTCTCTTTCAATATCCTGCTTCTTGTTGTAAATAGTTAATAAACTCAGTTGTTTTATTGTTCTTCACGAGTCGTGTCGGTCTCTTGCCCGTTACCCTAAGTGGTGAGTGAAACCCTCCCTGTTCCCTGCCTCAGCCCACCAGTGCCCTGTCCCTGTGGTTTTATAAACCACAACTGGACACAAGGTTTATAACAGGCGATATTAAAAGCCCACTTCTACACTGGACAAGATGTCAATCTCTCCTCTCAAGTTTCAAAAGCATACACTGCTTATTCCTTATTCATTTGTGCTTGAGAGAAAGGTGGGGTCACCTTGAAGTGACTCTGGTTTTGGAAAGACTTCCTGAAGTTAAGTAATGATTAGTTTACATTATCCCTCTATTAGAAAGTTAATCTAGACTCTTTAATGTTTACTTCTTAAAAGCTGTGGGACTGGGGGGACGGGGCGGGGACAGCAGCAGGGGTCCTGCCACTAAGGCTATGGTGTCATCTTCCTGTAAGGATGTCTCTCCTTATTCCATTTATACACAAGTTTATTCTGCTGGAAGGACCTAAACCATAGATATTTCCCACTAGGTGTTTCGTAATTGCGTCTACACTACAGTTTTTAGCTGCATGATGTATATCAATTACAGATGATAAGAGGCCAGAAAGAGACACTAAATCAGTGAAATGAAGGTGCTTAAGGAGATGATGTTCTCTGCATTTACTCTAACCTATATATTATTAGAGTTGACTAAACCAAACTGTACTCTAAAGCTACCTTAAGGCCAACTGCCTCTCAGATTAGGTTGTGCATCTATGTAATTTCTTACAGTCTACCCTAAAATGGAGATGAAAAACTATTTTGTGCTTAATGAAACTGCACTGCACAAGGTGAAAAAAATTCTTTAGGCACCCCCAAAAACTTCCACACCCATCTCACACAGCTGAAATCTCCATGTATTAGAGTCCTAACACACCCAGAATCTAGATCTCATAATTTGCTTTTGGTAAGAATGCAATCTACTGCTATTTTTTCCAGGGAGGAAACAGTCACAAAAGCACCTTCTACAACTCCACAGTTTTCTGTTGGGAATGATTAGGGGAGAGCCACACTCAGAGATGAAAAGTACCAGAAACACAACTATAGCTTAGTGAAGGTTAGGATAGACTGAAGAAGGAAAAAGGAGTTGTCATTAACAGAAGAGAAATAAGAAGGCCAGCAACTGGCAAAAAACCCACCCTGAAGTTGAAAACTATGGCTGCACCTTATTCACTATAGGACTAGTTCAGAAAAAGAACCCATACACAGTTCGCTCAAGCACCCTCCTCTCAGTAAAAAGCGTGACTTCCATTCAGATACTCAGTCTTTCACACTGATGTCAGAAAGCTCTCCTTGTATCTTTGCTTCTTCCCACTCCTCTTTGATAGGAAGTTACTTTCCGATTCTCTCTAGACATCTCACAGCTAGTATCATCCAGCAAACTTGATGTTTTCCCTTCCTCATGCACAGGCATCCCATGTTAGTATTGCACACTCCTCACATTCTTATTTTCACATGCCAATGATCACAGCAACACATGCTGGTTTGCATTCAGCAGAAAAATACTAAATTGGCGTGACACTCCTAAAAAACAGTGCATTTCAAGTGACAAACCAATGCAACAGATGTGCAAGACCGCAACAGAAACAGGTCACAGCTACTAGATGTCAGCAGACAAGCCTCTATTTTGGCCAAAAAAGCCCGTTAAAAAGCCTGTTCACCCATTTGCATCAAGTACTTAGGAAGTCTGTTAGAAATGCAGGCGCATAAGGCAGAGTGGGAGAGATCCCATGTGCTGCATTGCACTGGGAATCCTGTTGTTAAGCTGGTAGCACTGAAGACCTAGTCAGGAGACAACGCTCTCACCTCTTGGAGAGGTCACTTTCTGAGTGCTGCAGCAACCTTCCAGAGCCCTGGTAAAAGTTTTTCAGGAAGGAAGGGGCAGAGACAGAGGAGGGGAGACCAGATGACGCAGATTCACTTTCATTGAGAGCATGCCGAACCCCGATAATAGGGCTGTGCAGGCAACAAGAGAACATAGCAGATGGGTCAGCATGGATTCAGATACAACAACAAAACATCCAGATTAAAGATACTGGCCAAGTACCTGACCTTGGCTTACAGTAACTTTGCTCCCCAAAAGATAAAATGTACCACGTGCAATACTGGGCAGTTTCCCCGATGATATTAATTTTTCTGTTACAGCTGATTTGTGATTTCAATAACATTGGAGAAGAGGCAGATCACCTTATTTCTCTAGCGTTATTTATCCTCAAAGAAAATTCAGAAAAAGAATCTCTCAAACATTCAGAAAATATCCTTAGAAACCTGCTCCCCATAACATGAACCACCTTGTTTCCTCTCTTCAGTTTTCTTTTGTTCTTGTAAATAACATGTATTGCTAGAACACATTAGAAAGCGGAGATTATTTAAATGCAATATTTTTGGCTAAATTTTTGTGAATTATTTAAATCAAGAAGGATAGTCCTACTACACAGTTAAACATTAATAATATTAACAAGTGTTCGGAGCACACAAAAATTAATTAAGGTTTTTTTTTGCTTAATATTTTTGATTAATCCTCAATAAGAAAGGAGAGAAGGAAAAATCCCAGCCTAGAACCAGGTTGTTATAAACTGTTTTGACTGAAAATGTGCCGATGATGCCACTTAATCAGTGACTTCTTTAAAGTTATTACAAAGAAGTAAAGTCAGCAAGTCCTTCAGTCTGAACTGTCAGGGTTTCCTGTTTGCATACAACATGGCCAGTGGGAAAAAAAAAACAACAAAATTTATCTCAGTAAAAAACACATTATTTATCTCTTCAGAAACACAATGTAACAAAGCCATTTCAAGGCTAGTTTCTTACCCTTCACACCCTTCCATTCTCTTAAACAGAATAAGCCTTTTTGCCTGTCTCTACAATCTTGTGCAATATTCATGATGATATTTTAATTTTAAATGGCTGAGAAATTATTATTTAAATCCATTTTCAGAAAGAGCCCACCAAAAGCATAATTGCAGCCAAGCATTGAAACAGACGAGGAGTTTGGAGAAAGTGCTCCTCCAAGAGAAAAAAATTCAGCTCATTTGGGCCTGGATCTTCTAAAGGTTTTGGAGTTTGCACCATCACTCACTGCAGGTAGCCAGGATGGAGGCAGAGAAAGAAAGTACAACCAGAGGCCCACAATGAACTGTGGGGACCTCTTCTGACTGAGTGAAGGAACTCCTGAAGGAACAGTATTCCAAATGTCAACAGCTGGAGAGTCTCCAAAAAGGAAGAGGAAAGAAATTACAGAGGGAAGCTCTGGAAAAAGGCAAACAGAGAAATCGCATGTCTCACAGTTCAGTGGAGTTGTTTAATCCTTAAATCCTCTTGTGAGACTCCTCACCAATTTTAATTCTGGACGTACTCTCTGGAAGCTTGGCTAACACAGCGACTAACGCTTGAAGCTGTCAGTGCCTTTGTCACCCTGGCATAAAACCCTCAGGCTATCACCTCTGCAGTTAAAAGCAGTGAGGACCTCTTCCCCAAAGGGCCTGACTACTGATACTGACAGAAAGGCTCAGCTCAGAGGTAACAAATAAACAAACAAACCTACTGGCACCAGCATCCAGCCTGATGATCAGTTCGCTGGATTGACACTTCCCCTGAATCACTAATTCAGGGATCAGTGAGTTAATGCAAAGCACCAAACTACTTGGAGGCGGAGAAGACAGGCTGTAAATAGATAAATAAGAAAAAACCGGAGCAGTGCAGAAACAGCTTCCGTAAGAAGGAACACGGGCGAGGCTCATGTACCAAAATCACAGGAGACAGCAGGCGCGTGGCATGACGTGCCCTGACTCACCTTGTTGTCTCAATGCAGCTCTGCCGTGGCAGTGGGGACCGGACGCTCTGGGATCTCCCGTTCTGGAAGGTTATCCTCCGCCTGGCACTGGAGGGGGGGTGGCTAAAGGTGTGCGCACGCCTTCTGAACTGGGGGGAGTCTGAGTCTTCCTCAGGAAACGGCTGCCAGACTGAGGACACGGGGGAAGCTGGAGGAGTAGCTGGCGGGGAATCGCCCGGCGAAGCGTCCTGAAAGGAAGGGCCGATGGAGTGAGGCCTGCTGCTCTGCGCCCTACGAGAGCTCTCGCCTAACCCCACGGGTCGTGCGTTGCATCGTGTCACCAAAGCCTCTCCCTCTTCTTGGTCATGGTCTATTGTATGCTAATTATCACCAAAACCAGACATCCTTTGACAATTTACTCCAAAACCAGCAGCACCCTTCTTCTTCCAAAAAAAAAAAAAAAAAAAAAGAAACAGGAGGGAGGAACAAAAATGTATATTCAAGGCAAACAACATGCTAATTACTCCGGGTACCCTCTCACAGGGATCTGCATTCCATTTAACAGACTTCTGGCTCTTTCAGGAAAACACTGGAATTGAAATGACTAGGCAAACTGCTTTTAGCTAGTTTCCTCGACATATCACGAGCATACTTCCTGTACCGTCATAGCGATATCCTGGAAGAGAGACTGTTATTATACAGCCAGTTTTTGAGTAACTGTAGCAGGAAAGCCATAACAGAATCTTCACCTCCTGGGAACACCAGCATCCAATCCTCATGTGAGGTAAAACATTAAAAACAGGAAATAAAAAGAAAGTGAACAGAGTTACGCCCGCTCGCCTCCATACAGCATACCCAACAGCTGGTTCTAGGTCAAAAATTCTTACTTCCCTAAAGCAACTATTACTTACAGAAAGGATTCTTCACCTTCAGAGCATTTCCTTTTGTTGAGAGATAATATTTTTTAATTACTTCAGTGAAATAAGGCAGAAGCTGACCTGAAATTCCCTGCTATTTGTAAAAGTAGGGGAAGTGTAGAAAAAAAGGACTGTCAATCCAACAATATATTACAGCTGAAGCTTCATGTCAGCATATATCCCAGCTTTCTTAGACTCTCTGCCTCCCAGTGGAAACTGTTATTTGAGTTTTGTAAATTGATGTGCTTTATGCTACTTCCTTCAAATTGAAGCAGAGTGCCATATTTACACTTCATTAACACCCATGCACGAAAACGTGCCAATTTTAACTAAGCTCCTTACGTACTCTGTCAGAAGTAAGGCTATTGCAGCGCTCAAAGCTGTCCACACTTCCCAGGCGGCCTCGCATTCTGTTGGCTCCCTGCAAGAAAAAAGGCAAGCAACTGTAGCTGGTTTTTTTTCCTCTTTTTCTGACAGTTAAGTAAAGAAGGCAACAGCTGTGCAGATTAACACAGGACAGTTCAGGCACGTGACACGTTTGACATAAGACCACAGATCATGGGGCAAGCACTGCATTTGAGAAGCAGTGACATCTTTAGCTGGCAAAACTGTTCTCTCTCCTTGCTCCCAGGAGTTTTAAACCTGCCGCTCTGTTGTCTGAAGCAACTGAGTATACTTCTTGATCCATTTGAGGTAAAATAGCTGAGTTGGCTTAAACGGCTGAGTTCAAAAAGCTCCAGAGTTCAGTACTGTGCGTGCATTGCAGCTAACGGATGCATTTGACATACTACAATCTAAACAGAGTTTACTCCATATCCAGACATTTCAGAGAAATTAATTCTACCTCAGCAAAAGTAACGAAAGCACTAAAACTAGGATAAAAGAGCTTCTCGCTGCAAATCCAGACACACAGCATGAGATACAAACAAGCCTTTTCAATCATAATGTAGATAACCCTGAGGCAAATTTGATAGAAATTAGCGTCAGTATATCCTTGCCAAAATTGTTAACAGTCATCTGGTTTCACAGGAAGAAGTGATAGAGCTGCAATACTTTTGACTACCTCCCACTCCTAACTAACTCCTCTGACACATGGATAATGTATGCTGTTGTACACCTCCAACTGCTGAAATAAGTTGCTTTCAGTACTCTATCAGAGGAAAAATAGTCTAGGTTTTAGGAAAACTAATAGGTAAAGTTATCTTGGTAAGCTTGAAATTATAGGGGAAGTTTTGTTAACATCAGCAGTATTTATTCAGCCTACTTTTTCCTGAGAAGGTTTATTTTCAAGACTTAGAATGCCCGTTAAGTACATTATCCCCTTTAAGCTCATTACCAATGAATACTGTGCCTGATGAATCTCTTCACTGACCCTCACAATAAAACAAGAGCAAAGGATAACTTGGAAACTTCTCACTAACTTTAAAAACACACATTTTTGACACTGTAAGAAGGGCCTTCTGGTTCAGAAAAAAAACAACAGAAGAGGCTGGCGCAGCATGGGCTGGAAGAAATCTGTTCATAAGGTCAAACAGAGGTTATATTTATTTTTCTGAGGTACCTCATTAGGAAGGTACAGCCTGTTTTCATTTCAAACCTGACAAAAATAAGATCAGTCCAGCAAACAAGTGAAAAAGTGACATTCCTCTGGGACTAAGGGAAGCCAGAGCACAGAACCCAGCATGTTTCCCTATGGTGAGTACTGAGCAGATACTCCTTCAAGTAGCTTAAAATGTCACTTGATGCTATTTATCTAAGAAGCCATCCACTTAAAATGTTCCTAGATATCTGGTTAGGACATACTTATTTCTAATTTTGCTAAGATCGAGGCTCTGTAAGTCTCTCCCCCATATTTACTGACTTTTACTTTTTACCTAAATCTTTTTATTTACAAATAGATGTTCAATGTTAATTTTTAAAAAATTAATTTCTTTCCTGGTCTCTTTGTTACTAAATATACTTTAAAATAAAGATGGTAAGTCATGCAATAATTATCAGTCCATTACATCAATACCATGTCATTTCTAGCTGGCCTAAGGAAGGGAAAATCCACCACACCAATAGATATTTGGTACCTAAATACCTTTAGGAATTAGGCATGATCCATTTGGCTTGTTGTAATAGCCTGAATAAGAACTATGGAAACAGTCATTGTGTAACACACGTGTGCACCTAACACAGTATACATGCACAGAGCCGCTCGTCATAGATACCTGATTTAACCAAATAATTACTAGTTGAGCTGCACTGTAAATTGTTTTTCTAGGTCTTGAACTGTGTAACCTTTAAATGGATCTGCAAGGATGAACTCCTGTGTGTATCATGATTCACTATAACACACTACTGTTCCTGATCTCTTGCACTTTACAATTAAAGATGAGAAAACCTTCCTCACAACAGCAACTCCACTTCATAAGCAGCAGACTTAAAATCGCCCTAATCCAGACTCCGGTGTCACCTTCCACTGAACTCAACCATAGACTGTGTAGATCTTATACTATAACATGCAGCATCTCACAGTGGCCCTGATGAGAAGGAACATACTGTACCTATATCAAAACCAAGCAATTTCCCCTCAAAGACTCTTCAACTTAAGCAACCCATTTCATCTAAATGATTTTTCCTGGATATGACCATAAGGCTAGTATGTCCATATGTGGCAGAGCTGCTTTACTGTGTTATTCCCAGTGATGTACGCCTGTTCCACAACTACCGCAGGGTTAGCGACCCACAGTCAGAGATAGATGACTTTCCAGTCACATGTCCTTTAGATGTGGAAAAAAAATCAGACTCAGCATAGGCATGACTGTGGCTGTCACCATTTGTTGATATTCCAGACTGCTGAAATTATCCAGATCTTCTGACCGTCATCGCTCTCTTTTGTATGTGCACTCTCATGCTCTCTCTCTCTCTTCAGACCAAGTCCCCAGCATGTAAAACTTGCTACACAACATAGGTCAGATTTGACCAGAAGAGTTTTAAATCTAGCTTCAGTCCTAGATCAAATTCATGCCTAATTTTAAGTTCTAAGGATTCTCCCTGGCAAATAATATATTGCCTCCTTTGTAGAGAACATCTGTGGCATCCTACTTTTCCAGGTTATTTTATGACATGCTCATATAAGCTGCAGGACAAGTGCAACTTAGGTCTTGATTTAGCACAGTACTTTAAAATTACTATCAGAAGGAACTTAATTTCACTGCTTCAAATTATATTTAGACCTCACTATCCGGTATTCACTACTCATCACACTTTCTCTGCAACAACATACCGGATCTCAGGCACCCAGCCTTCTTCAGTTACTCCTCTATATGCCTCTCCCCTGCTTTCAGGGCTCCTCCTCCTACTGAGCAGGAGACACTAAGCAAAACTTATAATTCAGAATTCTTCTTTAAAAGGCTATTTAATATAAGAGAGTTCCAGTAATTACCTGCAATTCCACATCACACCTGGCTAGCAACACCGAAATGAAGAATGATTCTCCTTTTTTTTTTTAATTCTATTGCTCTTTTTTTGCCTGCAAAAGGACAACTTTATTGTTACTACTTTCTAAAGATTCTTAGTGACCAATATCAGCAATTTTAGCTATGAGAGGTAAGGCATTACTTCTCAGAACAGAAACATTTAAATTTTATGCAGGCACATTTATTCATGCTTTAAAAAACATGAAAAATATCTCTTTAGGGGATCATGCACCATCCTGGTGATTTTTTTTTTTTATTCTGAAGCCAGACATCTGATAATGCTCAACTAACTCACTTGCCACCCACAATGAATGTTCATTATTCAGACAGTTGCCTTTATTCCCCTCTGCATCTGTGGCCTTATCATAAACTTTCTATCACAGTTAAGTCACAGTCAACCCAGCTGTAACCCTCAGATTTCACAACATGGACATCTCTTCATTAAGTATACATCAGACTGAGACAAAAAAAAAAAAAAAAAAAAAATTGATAGAACTTTACTGTCAAGGATATCTGAGAGAGCTGCTAACAATGAGTTGTTAATCTTACCCTTGAGAAGATATTTTCCAGAGAGCTAGTCAAGGATTTCTTGGCCTTGTTTTTCAGAATGTCAAGTTTAAACCTGCCACCACTGGTAGTGCTTTCTGGAATCGCACTGTTAGAAACGGTCTGTTGAAATGAGCAAGGACACAATTCAGCTTTGGCAATTCTTTTTGCAATTGCAGACCTCCAAAGGCTACAGCTGAACCAAGTTACATAATAAACAACATACCCTTGACCTTTAATAAAATAAAATTTAAAAAAACAACAAAAAACCCCCAAACACTCAACAAAAGAGCCAAAGCCCCAAAAAACCCCACTTAAAGGCACATTCCATCCCTAGAGACTGTCTTGTAAAAGCATATAGAATCACAGAATCATAGAATGGT